GCTCAGAGGGCACAGAGGAGAAAGAAGAGAAGGAGGAGGAGAGTCCCTGTCTTCACTTCTCTGCCATCTTACCTGAACCTCTCAGATATTTTTAGCCAAAGTCTAGGTATTGTCAAAACTGTGGAGAACTCTCAAAGTGCTAAGCTATCATTGCCTGACGAGGCACACTATTTCTGCAAGCTTTTAGCAATCAGCATAAAAAGTGAAATAAAAGTTTTATAAGTCTAGTTTGTATGATGGTGCTAAACTAGAAGCCAAAGTCAATAGGGCAATTGGACAATTAGATCAAAACTCCAAGGGGTACTTGGTGCAACTGTATTAGTCAATGTACTTGTATTTTAATTTCATGCAATTATATTTCTCTATCCATTATATTTATCCATGTGTAACAGGTGATATTGCTATCAGGCAGATATCTGTGGGATACTACTCAGCTGTAAAAAATGATGAAGTGATTCATTCATGAGGGTGGAGAGCTCATGAATGGAATTAGTGTCCATATAAAGGGGATCACAGGGACTTCCATGCCCCATCTGTCTTGTTGACCCAGTGAGAAATGCTCATGTGTGGCATAGCAAGGAGGCCCTCACCAGGCGCCATGCCTGCTGGAACCTGAACTTCCCAGCTTCCATAGCTGTGAGGGAAATTTCTGCTGAGTCACCCCGCCTGTGTATTTTTGTCATAAATCTGAGTGAACCAGGACAAAAGAACATGGGTGCTTTTGTTCTCAAATGTTTATTCCCTACTCTGTGAGGGGATTGAAACTTGCTGCCCTTGACATTCCTTCCTGCAGGTCAAGTGGACCTCCCTACCCTGTTCTAGGTGGTCTGGGTGACTTGCACTGGCCCCTGGCATCAGCTCAGACCCGGTGTACACATCACCTGAAGCACTGTGGGCACTGAAATATGGCAGGTCTCAACTTACAAGAAGTTGTTCAGAATGAAAAATTTACCTCACAGTTATGGAAGCTGGGAAGTTCAGGTTCCAGCAGGTGTGGCGCCTGGTGAGGGCCTCCTTGCTATGCCACACATGAGCATCTCTCACTGGGTCAACAAGACAGATGGGACAAGGAAATCCCTGGAATCCCCTTTATATGGACACTAATTCCATTCATGAGTTCTCCACCCTCATTCCACTAATTCCATTCACCAGGGTCCTCCCTGGTGATGCAGTGGGTTAAAGTGCAGCACAAAGAAGCTAACTGCAGCCTCCACAGCCACTGCAGCACAAGTTCGATCCCTGCCCTGGAGGTGACCCACATGGCGTGGCAGACCTCTCCTGACCTGACTGCTGCTCCCCTCAGCAGTGTACTTTGTCGATCTTTCCATTTTGCTCCCCACTCTGTCTTTGGTGAATCCTCTCACTGTCTCTGCACCCCTGGCCTGCGCCCCAGTTCTATATGCATAAATAAATAAATTTTTAAAAGAAAAAAAAAAGAAGTACTCAGAGAAAAGCCAGAATTACAGTCAATCTGAGGCAGATACTAAGCCTACATGTGGTATGAACGAGAAACAAATAAATCTTATAAACACAAAGAATTTGGGGTTGTTTGTAGACAAGCGTAATCCAGTTAGAAAGAGAAATAGATTATGGAAGGCATTTTTTTATACATATTTATTTATGCATACAGGACTGGGGTGTAGGCCAGAGGTGCGGGGGGGTGAGAGAAGTCACCAAAGACATTGGGAAGCAGAACAGGCAGATTGACATACACAGCTCAGAGGAGCAGTGGGGGGGGCGAGGTGAGGGGTGGTCAGAAGAGGTCTGCCGCGCCATGTGGGTCAGCTCCAGACCTGGGGATCGAACACACACTGAAGTGGTTGTGGCAGTGCTGCACTTTAACCTACTGTGCCACCAGGGAGGGCCTCCTCCTGGTTCTTAAAAAAAGTCTCATTTAGTACTCAGTTTATCTCATTCTGAATTATGATTTTATTATATAATCTTTACTGTTAAGGAGTGAAGTGTATTCCTCTCTTGCCTTTTGGGCATGCATGGGATAAAAAAGGGTGAAATAAACATCAGTAGGGAGAGAGGCATTCAGGAGTTGCTCGAAGTGACTGTGGCAAAATGAATGAAGATTCCTGACGGCATTTGTTAGGAACCAGAGGGAAAGCAGAGAGCACTGAAAAGCAGTTTGAGAACGCACTTGATCTAAATTTAACTTGCCCACTGGGCTAAAGGATTGTGACTCAGAAGGGGGAAGCTGACATGTGAGTTCTTGTCAGAAATCCTTTTAGAACGTGGTGCAAAAATTGACCTGATCCAGCACAGGGATGGTTCAACATCAGAAAATCAATTAATGTAATCCATCACATCAACTGACAGAAGAATAAAAACCACATAATCATATCAATAGATGCGGAGAAGGCTTTCGACAAAGTTCAACACCATTTAT